TCACCGATATATGTATATATACCGATTGCTGGCTAATTGTATTTGGTTGAGTTTTGATGCTTAGGATTGTCTTGTCTCCGCCACAAGAGTAGTAACTGAGTCTGTTTCTCCATTAATCTATCAATAAATTCAGATCAATTTATTCCCAATATACCCTAAATACATAGTGGCATCAATGAGTTTCTTTATTGATGACTAAAATTTGACATGCTTTGATACTAGTGGTCCTTCAATTAGCGTAAAGGTATTCAGAAATGTTTGAATCGCTTATTAACCAAGTTTACTTGCTTCGATAACACGTGAGACTCTCTTAATCGATGGATGCTAAGATTTCTCAATTAATGAACATGAGGCGGATCATTCCTATGAATACTTATTGAAATGATTAATTTTTAGTTTCTAATATGAATTTTGCTATGAGTATGTGTGTTTGTGCGTGGTTGAACATAAGAGCCACGGTCAGGCGTACACTCATTTGTGAAACACGATCTGAAAGGAGTGTTGAAGTGTTTAGGGGTAGCAATTTGCACCCCCCCCCCAAACAGACCATGACAGAGAATCCCCGTACCCATCACAGACCGTGACAGAGAAACTGTAGTTGTAAAGCATCAGATAAACGGTTAGCTACAAATATGTCGCAAGGAAATGGAACAAAAGGATTTCCATTTAATTAGTAACAATAAATCCATCGTGTTTCACATTTTTAATCCCACAAGGGATTGCGCTAACAGCTTTTTTTTTAATTCTTCAGTATCCACATTACGACGCTTATTTGAAAATGACAAGCTTTCGATTTAAAAAATTAGTTTGAAGATTGCTTCTTTTTACTAATTTTATATAAATGAACTTGTATGCAAGTAGGAGTGGCATTATCATCAATCCTCCTTTTACTATTGAAGCTTCCCAGGTTGACGATTACGAACTTCGTATACGACAATAAACGATCATATACCCTACGATACGATCGTTTACGAATAAATACGGAGTAAAATGGGCACCGCACAGTGGGCAACTTTGGTATACCAGGCGGATATATATGTGAAAACGATTTTTGCATTATCAATAGCAAAGCTATATAGCTTTTTCGATGCAGTCTTTCTAACGGCATGCTCAAAAACCTTGATTTCTGATCACATTAAATGTAGAATGAAACCGTAATTGCCGGTTCAAGTGTCCTTTTTTACTTTTTCTTGAAGTTATTTTACTTTTTTCAGATTTTTCTAGATTTTTTGGAATTTTTTAATGCTTTTTAATATTTTTTAGGTTTTTTTCACATTTTTTAAATCTTTTTTACTTCTCGGATCCCGCTATTGATTATAAGATAGGTTCATTTTCTATTAAAATCTTTTTGAACACTAAAACAAGAAAGGGGAAAGAGACTTTCAAAGTTATATGCAATTTGATATCGGGATATCAAATATGTTGATTCATTTCTGAAAAAATAGATTATGTAGTATTTCATCATCTTCATTCAACGGTTGAAATGTTGACGTTTGTGCCTGTGAATGTATTTGTCTTTTTTCAAATGTGTCAGTAATTTTTTTTCTTATGACTGGATCGGAACGAATGAAAAGTTGATTGAAGATATCTGTGAGATTCACTATATGTCCACATTTCCTAGATAAAAATTCACAAAAATTACGAACATCTTTATTACATCTCTCAAGAGCCTCTTCTGATAATTCTCCCAAGGCGACACCATGATTTCTTTCTATTAATTTGCATGAATGAAATATTACTGAATAAACAGTCATGTTTTAATCAATCCATTTTTCATCCGACAATAATTTTTGGAAATCGATTAATTAATTCTTTATATTTAGGAATATTAATCAATTGTGTTGAAGAAATAGCTCGTAAAATAATAGAATAAAGTTGAATTAATTTTTGAAGTGTTTTACGATGTCGTGATGGAATACAAGACACTAAGACATCTCGAACTTCATATGAAAAGAATTTTCGTCATTGTCCACCTGTCGTGCTTGCACCACCAGTTGTAGATGAACTAGAATTATATTGATCAAGTCGTAAACCAATTTTACTTTGAATAGTTTCTAAGATTGTTTTATTTTCTTTTAGAATACGTTCTTGTTTATCTTTACCACGAATTATCCACGAAAATATATCGGCACGCATATGAGCCATGATACTCAGAACCCAAGTCGTACCATTAATATATTGATGAGTGATAGTGATAAAATGTTGATCATTAATTGATAAAAGCTCCGATGTTAAACCTGTCCGAATATCGTAATCATTTTTACGTTTTAAAATATTACCATCATTATCAACTAATTGGCTATATAATGTAAGAGTCTTTTCTGCTGTTCGATTAATACTACAAAAAATCAGGATTTAAAATTTTCTTCGGATCCTTCCAATCTTCTTGTTTTGTGCTACACATTAAGCATTGAGCACCTCCCAAACCTGATTCAGCCATTCGAACTTTCATGTCCTTCATCGTAGCTTCTATTGTAATTTTGACATTATATCTTTTGTTTTTGCATTGAAATGTTAAGTCATTCTGTTCTAAATTTTTTTCTTGAAGTTCAAATGTTTCATTTACGAAACGAAGTAATTCGTGATTTTCTTTTTCTGCAATTAATAATAATGGCCGAGTATAAAAGGCACTGTTTGGTGATTGATTACGCCATAGCATTTTATGTGACTCTTCATCCTTCAGTGATAATGGTACAAACATTTTGTAAAAAATGTTAGGATTACGCATCGGATTGTCAGTTGACCTGTAAATAGACATTGAACCGGCTCCATCCTGTCCTGTTTTCACACGATAAGTCAAATGCTTTGGTACATCGATAT